CAACATTGTGCTGAGGTTTATGGTGTCAGAAGAACAGTATAATTAGTACAACTACTAAATGCATCTTACATTTTATTGGAAAGTTTACAAACACATTGATTTTTCATTCAATAATTCGTATATTTTTTATAATATTAATCACCACTGATTAATGTAAAAGTATGTTCTAGATTTTTAGAGATATTTTATGATAGTTGACTTGTTTGGGCCCTTTCATCCTTTTTTAGAGAAAAGGGCACAAAGAGGTAAAATGACTTTTCCAAGAAATATTTGAGAGTGAACAGTATAGTTTTTAAAATTTGTGCCATTTTCATCTTTCTTTAATACTGTTATTCAGTTGCATGTTTATTTATCTCTAACATTTACATTAACATTTTAGTTTGTTAAAGTACTCAAGAAAAGAATGTGAATTCAATCTATAGAGAGGTGTAGGTGCAGACAATTTAATTTCTCAGAAGCATCATAGCCCATTGCAGTAGATCATTTAAAATTGTCACCAACCCTTGTCCTTTAATCGTATTTTAGTCTATATCAGTTTTTAATAATATATATATGACTCTATTTTTCAGGTACCAAAAGAGCATCTTTTAGTCTCTATTCCACTTTTGATTAATCACCTTCAAGCTGAAAGTATTGTTGTTCACACTTACGCAGCACATGCTCTTGAAAGACTGTTTACTATGAGAGGGCCTAATAACACCACTCTGTAAGTATTTCATTCCAACCATTTTGTTATTTTCTATCTCTGGATGGAGGACTTTTCTGTATTGTATCACAGGTATCTCTGAATAGGTTAAAAATACTTTTATTAGATAATTGAGAAAAGAAATGTGTACTTAACTACATTGTCTCATTCCAGAAGGATTAGAGGCAGCTTAGTTTGACAAGACAGAATTATGACAGAATAAAGTTAAATACATGAGAAAATTGGGACAGAGCAAATTGATGGAGGTAAGGTTAACAAAATTATGTCAGAGGATTTTGAATAGTAGATACACAAACTCCTGAAATTGTATTTCTCATTTCCTTGCAGCCAAGGCAAAAAAAAAAGGAAACTTCAGGAGTTAAAGTAGTCACAGTGTCTCTAAGATTTAGACTCAAGAGTTACTTAGAAAATAACACAGAAGAAGGTCCAGTTTGGAAAGAACTGCAGTCAGCAGTTTTCAGCAGCTTCATGCAGCAGTTATTTTCGCATGGCTGTGTTTGAGTCACTCTCTTGTCTGAGATAAGACACAGCTGAGTGGAAGTGTTTCTTAGGAAGTAGTGCTTGATCCAGTGATAAAATGTGGAGGACTAGATAGTCTGTTTATCTTTTGGCCATCCTGCAGTGGTATTATGAGTTTTAGCCTTGGGTAAGAGATGGATAACAGTTCTAGATTCTTTGTTCCATCGAGAACCTGGCATCTCAGTGATCAAAAGGACATACATTGAGGTGAGTTCCTATCTTCAGGCTCAGACTCTGTGCAGAAAATGATTCTAAATTATTCCAAGGAAACAAAGTAATGTACCAAGTAGCTCCTGAGAGTTTCAGTCATGTTATTGGAGTGATAAACCAAAGACAACCTTCACAATTTTAGGTTATGTTGAGCTTTCCTGGGTTTTTTTGTTTGTTTAAGTGATTTGATCTCATTTGCCTTCTTTTTGAGCGTAAGATTAGATATGAGAGTGTATTTTCCTGAACTGTCTACCAACGATGGGCTGCGGCTCCGTTTTAAGCTGAGGAGTGTGATTCTGTAGTTAGTTGCCAAGGATACTCCACAGGGATGAGCTCAAGAGTTGGTAGTGACTGAAAGCTGTTTTCTCATCTATAGCTTTACAGCTGCAGAAATCGCACCGTTTGTTGAGATTCTGCTAACAAACCTTTTCAAAGCTCTCACACTTCCTGGCTCTTCAGAAAATGAATATATTATGAAAGGTAGGCCGTTTCCCTGGTGTACAGATTATAATTAATCTAGATTATCAAACACTCTTGAGTCCATGCCAGATTACATGATTTTTTAAACCATTAACTATTTGCCAAGAATTCAGCATGGTTAAGTATTTTTAAATGCAGAATACTCTTTTGTTTATAGTAAATGAATGTTTGGGGTTTTTTTTAAATTATTATTTTTTTACATTTTAGCTTGATAGGAAACTTTCTTACAGAAAAAGCAGCAACTCCTTCCACAATACTGATCTCTCTGTCTGTCTCTCTATATCACCTTGTTCTTGGATACCTCTTTATGTCTTCGTGTTTATTGAATTTCTTGAAGATAAGGGTCAGATCATGTAGCAAGCATTCCTTGAGGGCCTGCTCATGGTAGCTAAGCTTAGTGAAACATGGTTGCACATGACAGACCCCACTCAGATCCTGCTATCACTGACAACGTTGCCAGAGACCAGTAGGAGAGTCTCCTGCTCCCTGACTTTGAGAACAGTCTCCATTTTATTCACTATTGCATCCCAAGAGCCTGTGGAGTCACTTTCAAAGACACTGTCCCTGGTGCCTTTGAGCCTGTCACAGCTATGACGTAGTAATCCTTTTGTTTGATGTCCGTTTATCTCTGTGAGGGCAGATAACTGGTTTGTAGACTTCAGTGCTGTGTGTTTAGGGTGTGCAGAAGCACTTGGGGTATACTGCTGTCTCAGTGACTAGCACTTTGTGAGTGAATGAAAAGGATTCCTTGCCGGCCCACAAGAGGAGCACCTGATTCAGCCTCTGACTTCACTATGAGAGGGAGAGCTTTTCTCTAGGAAGTGATGTCTAAACTGAGATAGAAAAGTAGCAATTGACTAGTTTCATATAAAGTTCGTGTGACTCAAGTAGAAAAAAAATCACGTTCAAAGTCTTGGAGTCAACATAAAAAAGTAGTGTACTTCTTTTTAGTTTATTATTTATCTCATATCACATGTTTTTTAAAACCATACCCACTGTCACTGACTTGGTTCCAGCTCAGCGACCAAGACTGTAAATCTTCACAGGAGGAGGCTGACAGGCGGCTCGACTGGTGGATTGCAATGCCAGCCTTGCACTTAGCAACGCAAAACAAACCACCAGCGCTTGTGGTCTTTCTAGGCATATGTTCAGGAACATAGTTTTTGTAATTTGGGCTCCTTGTTGGCTTTATGTGTATTTTTTAGATTTACTTTAGACTGGTCATTACTCTTTTTTGGAGAAAATGTGTGGCTGGTCTTCGCTTTCAGTTTCCTTGCGTCAAGGTCCTATTTCTTCTAGGTTTAGGATGAAAAATTCCAATTGCTGCTAAGAAACCAAGGCTCTTCTTCCCCTCCCATACTGCCTCCTCACACACACTCACATCCACTACTTCCTCACTTCTTCATCTGTTGCTTTAGTCACGTAGGAGCTCTGGAGGCATAGTTCCTAGCTGTTGGACTGCAAAACAAAACCCTCAAATCTCCGATGGCTTGAGTCCGTGGGAGAAAGATAAGTAGTCTCCCTTCTGATTTTCGGTCTGAGCCCTAATGAATGGCTGCTGTGAATGAAGAATTGACTCAGTGGCAACAAGTTTGGTTTAGCAGCTTCAGGAAACACCTGAATTATTTCCCAGCTAATTTTTGTTGCCAACCCAGGGATTTGAAAGGACGGGGAAATGTAGATAATCATTGCACTTGGACAAGCCCCTGAGGGTTGGTTACACTTCTCATTCTCTCTGTATTACTTTATTCTGAAGTTTCACTGACTGACTTGTTAATGCTGTTTTCATATTTTACAGCTATTATGAGGAGTTTTTCCCTCCTGCAAGAAGCCATAATCCCATACATCCCAACTCTCATCAGTCAGCTCACACAGAAGCTGTTAGCTGTTAGTAAGGTAATGGGGACTGTGAAAGTGCACTCACTCTTTTACCTTCTTTTCCAGATTGTCCCTCAGAATTCCGTGGCAATAGGTCAGACTTGGGAAAAAATCTAGGAATTCTTTTTTTTTTCCTTAAAAAAATCTAGGAATTCTAGTCAACACTTAATTAAAAATGTGGGGTTAGAGATGTATGGCAGTCACCTTTATGGCAGGTTTAGAAGCTCTAAAATGTGTTTATTCTCACTACAGAAGTAACATGTTCATTGAGGAAAAGTAAGAAGTTTTAAGTGATCTGAACAGACCACATGACAAGGAGTGAGAAAGGTTCTTTGCACTCCTGTAAGATGACAGCCTTAAAGTCCTTCAGGTGCTTCTGCACTCTTAGTCCAGCAAGAAAGTGTACTCTTGGTCTAAAATTTTACACATAACTTCATTTATATTTAAATTTTATATATATAAGTGTTAGAAAATCTATTTAAAGCTCATAGAATTCTTTTTAGATGATTATTCTATGAAATGAAGATAAACTTACAGAAAATAATCTGGAACAAGAAATTCATTGCCAAGTGGACTGGGAGAGGGAAGAAAATGTGTAGCAGTAAATGAATTTTTAAAAATGACGTATAAGGGAGCTCTGGTGGCTCAGTGGCAAGAAGCTGCACTGCAGTCCTGAAGGCACACGGTTCGAATCCACCATATGCTCCGCTGGAGAAGGAGGTGCAGTCTCCTCCTGTGTCAGTCAGATCCGATTTGACAGTACACAACAAGAAGGAAAAAGAAAAATATGACATACAATTTTAAAAAAATAATAGAAATTATCAGAAGAGCCTTGAAGAGCAGTTTTTCAGCTGTGTTTTAGGCAAAGGTTTTGGACAACTGTGGGCCGCGGGGGAATATGGAGAAGGGAAGGAGTGACATCCCTACCTTCCGTTCCCACGGCGCACACACTGCCAAGTACATATGCACTCTCATCTTCTGACTTTTCACGGTATCCTTTCAGGAAGGATTTTGTTAGAAGTAGCACTTGATTTCTTAAAAAGAGTTTGGAACCACTGCTGTTGAGGTTCATCATGATAGATAGACAGCAGTGCCCCTAGGATTGGAGTTTGCCACAGTCCCACAGGGCTGGTGGAAGAGCTAGAACATGCATGTTCCACACCTACTTGGTGTTGCTTCTGCCAATTTCTTTTGACTTCACTCTACAATGATGACTCTGTAGAGTTTAAGACAGGCCCTTAATATTCTGGAGCAGAGGATTATTGTTACTTTAACTTCCTACTAAAAAACTATTAGCAAGTATCTGGTGGTTTGTAGTTTAAAAAAAATTTTTTTTAAGTCAATTTAAAATTTTGGCATGCATGCAGTTTTTCTTGTAACTCCATTTTTTCCCTTAATTTTGATTAAAAGAAGAAATTACTTTCTTTAAACATGTTTTATGGTGATTAGAAAGATTTTTTTTTCATTTAAATACTTATACAGAGTTACTTGGCTCCTTAGAATAAATTAGCTTTAAAAATTGTTTTTAAATTTCAGAACCCAAGCAAACCTCACTTTAATCACTACATGTTTGAAGCAATATGTTTATCTATAAGAATAACTTGCAAGGCTAACCCGGCTGCTGTTGTAAATTTTGAGGAGGCGTTATTTCTGGTGTTTACTGAAATTTTACAAAATGATGTACAAGGTAAGTTAAAGGAGATTATCTTCTCTGATACGATAAAATAGCTATAAAATACGGCCTGCCAAAAATATGTGCCTTTTTATTTTTTAAAAAATAACATCCATTGATTCTGAAACTAACAACTGCTTTACTTTTATCAACAGAGTTTATTCCTTATGTCTTTCAAGTGATGTCTTTGCTTCTGGAAACACATAAAAATGACATCCCTTCTTCCTACATGGCATTATTTCCTCATCTCCTTCAGCCAGTGCTTTGGGAAAGAACAGGAAACATCCCTGCTCTCGTAAGACTACTCCAAGCATTCTTAGAACGTGGCTCAAGTACAATAGCAACTGCTGCAGCTGACAAAATTGTGAGTCACTCACTTACTCGGTATAGCTCTCTTTCTCGTAGGCTACAATCAGGATATAATTCTTCAGTAAAGATACCGTCTTGGGAATATTTAAAGGCCCTTTGACCTTCAGCCTCATAGTTCTGGGCCAGAGTGACACTGTTCTGTTAGTACGGCCACTTATGACCCCTCCCCTCCATCAGCACGCTCTCGGTCAGCCCTCTCACTCCAGGCTCTCCACTGTCACCACAGTGTCTTGATCTGGTTCTTTCTTCATCTTGGACAGGAATGTCTGCCCCCAAAGCATGTGCTGTGCTGCATTCTCCACCTCTTCTTTGTTTATGGTAGTGAGATCCCACTGGTTTAGCTTTGAGAAATTGAAGATAGCATTTTGCAAGGGTTTTTTAGAGACTATGTATTTATTGGTTAAAAAAAAGTTAATTTTTATTAGGCTTAGATACCTTTTAATAATCATCTCAGTGAGTCAAACGAGTTAAATTTTAAAATCTTAAAGGCTTATTGCATGATTTTTCTCACCTTCATACATTTTAAAGCTAGGCATTAAAAGGAAACTAACTCTTTTTAAACATGTATATCATCTCTTTACGAAGTGTTTGTGGTATAGTGTATTATGTATTGAGCTGCTAAACCAAAAAGTCAGCAGTTTGAATCCACCAGCTGCTCTAAGGGAGTCAGCTGTCATTAACATTTACAACCTCAGAAACCCAGTGGAGGGCTGCCGTAACTCAGATCAACTACACTAGTGGGTTTGGGTTTTGAAGAGTTATGATCTGTTGAAGTCCTTTTTCTTTTTTTCCCTTTGCTCTCATATAGCCTGGGTTATTAGGTGTCTTCCAGAAGCTGATTGCATCTAAAGCAAATGACCACCAAGGTTTTTATCTTCTCAACAGTATAATAGAGCACATGCCCCCGTGAGTATAAACAAATTCATTGTGAACTTAATCCAAGATTTTCATTAGTACTCAGAAAAATGCTATATTCATATTGTTTTTTCATTCACTTCTTTAGTGAGTCCGTCGACCAATACAGGAAGCAAATATTCATCCTACTGTTCCAAAGACTTCAGAATTCCAAAACAACAAAGTTTATCAAGAGTAAGTAATGTCATTTGTGTGTCTGTATGGAAATACAGGAAAGTAGCTAAAGCTTTGGACTGGACTTAGTTTTCTAGGAAAATACAAGAATATTAGTCACCTTAAGAGACATTTATTTTCTCTCAGTTCTGAAGGCTGGAAGTCAGAATTCAGGACATACTTTCCCTCTGTGACAGGGAAGATGTTTCCTTTCTCTGTTTCTTGTAACTGCTATTTTTTGGTGATCTTCGCACACTGCTTTCCCTGTTTGTGTGACTGTTTCCACATCTGCTCTGCTCTCCCCTTTTATAAACCAATCGCTCAGAAGGGAGGAGAGGCAACGTCACTCCTCCCAGTGACTGCTGACAACACCTGAGAAGTCGGCTTTCCAGGCACACTTTTAGTCATACTCTGGTGGATCAGGTTTCCTGTCTTTGGGGGACACAGTTCTTTCCATGACAGACTTGTTGGTAAAGAAAAGGCTACCGTGCTTCAGTTATATATTAAAGATTTTTTAAAATAGTTGTTTTCCACAGTGAATAAATGGAAATCCATGTTCTCTATAAACGTTCATTCTAAAATCTCAATTTAAAAAAAGAATAAAACATCTTAAGATTGTAAAAGGAAAAACAGTGTTATAGTGTGCCAAAGGAAAAAAAAATTTAAAAAATAAAATTTGTTTTCTAAATACTGAATCACTTTCAAATGTATTGTACCCAAAGTCATGCTTTGGAAACTCAGATACCAAGACATTTTTCTAATAACAGCAGTAGTCTATTAGAGGCCAAGGGCATTAATACCTTTTTTAAGGAATATATATATAGCTTTTTTGGTTTTGAGGATAAAATAGTAAAGATAGATTAGAAAGTTCTATCCCCAGAGGGATGGCAGACCTTCTTAAAAGAAAGTGAGAGAGGACTCTCTTAATAATGATAGGGTGAATTTGGCAGAAAGGACCTTTTTCATGTTACAACTTCAACCAGTTTGTCATGCAGTATATTATATATATTAACATTCCGTATCTTCTTCCAACAGGTTTCTTAGTCTTTATTAATTTGTACTGCATAAAATACGGGGCATTAGCACTACAAGAAATATTTGATGGTATACAACCCAAGTAAGTTTCATTTTATTTATCAAAGAAGAAATTACTTAGTATTTTTAGATTATTTCCTGTTTTTGATGCAGCAATAATATCTTTATGGGATTTTCCCCCCCCTTCTGTTTATTATTTTGGTTGGCTTTTTAGGGTTGTGTCCCCCCCCCCTTGTAGTGTTGAGTTGTTAAGATGAAAATTCCTGTAAAACATGGTTCTAATTCCCAAATTTAGTTCATTTTGAGTGTTTTTTAAGCCAGTGTTCTTAATTTAGTTGAAAAATTAGTATAGTTCCAGGAGACCGACTTTGTTAAAACAAACAGCTTAACTTTTTAAACAAGAAAAGTTTGGATCAATACAGCCTTGGTTTTAAGCATTATTTCGAGTAATAGTACAGAGGGGGGGAAGGGGTAGTGAGGGGAGAAGGAAGGGACTTTGGTGATCTATATAGGTAAGGAGTTGTGCTGCCAACCCGAAGTTCAAATCCACCAGCTGCTCTGCGAGAGAGAGAAAGATGGACAGGCTTACCCTGTGTGATTTATAACCCTGGAAAATGTGCTGCAGGGTCAGTTTGTTCCCACTAGCTGGCAGTGACAAAATGAGATTTCTCTGTAAAATGAGGTGTCAAATGGTCAAGGATAGCTAGAGTTGGGAGAGGAACTTAAGTAAAAGCTATGTATTGAAATTTTTAATAGCAAAGTAAAAAGTGTTTTAGCTCAAGTATTACCTGAGAATATGATTTCCAGCAATCTGTATCCAGAGCTTTAAAATGTCTTTGCTCTTTGATAGCCAGTTATTTTCACTTTCATAGAACAAAACATTCTATTACAGCTTAAGCAGAATTTCACATTATCTTAGGATCTTAAAAACTACTTGTCAGATGTTTGAAGCAGTGTAGAATGACCAAATAATTTTTGTACTTTGAAATACTTGGATGTTGTTGTGTACTGGCAAGTAAAGACCAACCCATAGCTGACCCTCCAGCAGATTTTCATGAACATCAAATGTCGCAGGAGGAGCTTGCCTGTCTTCTGTGAAGTAGCCGGTGGGTCTGTCCTGCGTGCCTTTGTGCCGGCAGCACCGTTCCTTACCGCGAAGCAATTTACTGCTTCTGAAAACCCACTGGAGGCTGAGTTTTAACTCGTTGGCACACAGCACAAGAAGCCGCCATCAGTACTCTCTAATATTTGCAAAGTTAAAGGTCTTATAATTAATTCCACTTGGGCAGAAATGGCAGCTTTTAAACTTTATTCATAAGGATTTGCTGAGTATAACAACTTATTTAACTAAAGAACACATTTATGTGCTGCAGTGCTGAAACAGCATGGTTCGAATCCACCAGATGCTCCGTTGGAAGAGGAAGGGCGGTCTCCTGTGCCAGTCAGATCTGATTTGATGGCACACATCAGCAACCAAAAAGAAATAAATAACACATTTATTGATATTCTATATTTTATTTTGCTTTGATTAATAGAATGTTTGGAATGGTGCTGGAGAAGATAATTATTCCTGAAATTCAGAAGGTGTCTGGAAATGTAGAGAAAAAGATCTGTGCAGTTGGCATAACCAAATTACTAACTGAATGTCCCCCAATGATGGACACTGAGTATACTAAGCTATGGTAAGTTCACCATTCTAATATTTTTGGAAATTACCTCTTCTGTTAAATTAACTATGTGTATTTTCATGAGGTCTGAGTTCCGATATTGGTTTCTCCACTGCTAGCAACAATCTTAGGTCATTGTTGGCCTGGAATGATTGTTCGTGGTTCTTAACTTTTTGTGAAGGTAATTATTGACCTCTTTGAGACTTTGATGAACATATTGTAGATGATCTCTAATACTGTTGATTGACAGAGCCCGACCAAACTGGCTGAGCAGGAACTAAAGTAGGCCAAGAGAAGGGACCTTGGGCTCAATGTCCGGTGCTTGAAGGTTTACTCTACCTCTTGCTTTTCCAGTTTTGTTTCCACTCTGATCTGGCAATTTGAGGCTTAGGTAACAGAAGGCCTCCTTGGCTTGGCTTGAGTCAAGGCTCTTACTAGTTAAGTCTGGGTCATATGAGGGAACCCTGGTTAAATGCTCAGCTGTTAACCATAAACTGCATTTTGAGCCCACCATCCACTTGGAAAAAGCTGGGACTCTGGGCCCTGTAAAGATTTCAACCTTGGAAACCATAATAGAGTGACTGTGAGTTGGAATCAATTTGATGAAAACTGGTTTGATTTGCGAGCTTGAGAACTCTAGGGGTAAAGTAGTTTTCCCAAAGTCTCAAAAATTTTTTTGTTGATAGAATAATTCCCTTCACAAATATTTTTTTTGTTGAAAGAATTGAGGAATGGTGTTGATCTTAATTTCAAATCCTACTCTTGGGATTATGAGTGTATAATTTTATTTTAGGAATTGCTACTTACTGTCTTAAAATTACTTCTTTTGTCTTAACATTCCTCCAATTCAGGACTCCTTTATTACAGTCTCTGATTGGCCTTTTTGAGTTACCTGAAGATGATACCATTCCTGATGAGGAACATTTCATTGACATTGAAGATACACCAGGATACCAGACTGCCTTCTCACAGTTGGCATTTGCTGGGAAGAAAGAACATGATCCTGTAGGTCAGATGGTGAACAACCCTAAAATCCACCTGGCACAGTCACTTCACAAACTGTCGACTGCGTGTCCGGGAAGGGTGAGTGTGTGGTTAAAGAACTGCATCCTTGGGGGCCTTTGCAGGAGAGCAGTAAGAGAGGGTAGTGCCTGTGTCACTGCTCAGGTTGAATTTCAGGCAGAACTTATTACTTTGTCATTATGATGGGCCCTTCTCACCTTTATGATGTACTGCAAATAGAAGTTGAAGCAAATTATTTTTGTAGTAACAAGAGAAGTGATGACTGAATGGCATTCAGTTTCTTTCCCATCAAGTATAGAAAGAATGCATCCATTCTTAGAATGTAGACCTATTTTCTTTTTAATTGCAGCATACCAAGAAATACTGGAACTTGGAGTAAACGTAAACTTGGCTGTACGGTTGATAATTAGCCAGCACTTTTCACAGAATCTTCTATTACCTGGTGATTTTTAGATTTACATAAATACATATAACAAATCTAGATGTAACCACTTTCTGTAATATACTAGCAGCTTCCAATGTTTATTTCTCCTTGTTTGAGAATTTTAGAGTAGGCCTTAGACATTACATCATTTAGGAATGTTCTTTTTTAAATGATAATAATTGAATCCGACAAATACTGATCTACTTTTTAGACTTAGCTATTTTTTATGTCAGCTATTTTTGATGTCATAAAAGTAACGGAGTCACTTTGGACTCTTTCACGGCCATTTTTGGCTTACTGCTGTCATAGAAGAGTGTGCTTGATGTTAGTGAAGGTCAAGTAGCCAAGGCCTGTTTCTGATCTCTTGCAGGTCCCTTCGATGGTGAGCACCAGCCTCAATGCAGAAGCCCTCCAGTACCTCCAGGGCTATCTCCAAGCGGCCAGTGTGACGCTGCTTTGAACTGCATTTTTCTAATGGGCTTATCAGCCTCAGATGGTTTATAAAGAGGTGATCATGTAGACCTTTGAGCCGAGCTTCATTAAAACAAAGCGAGTTTTCCTTTTGAGCTTGTCACAAATCCATCTTGTAAAGACTATTAAATGTTGCTTTTAAGCTGAACTTTGAGCAGATTAGGTGGTTTGTGTGCTCATAAATAAAAGTGAGTGACTTTTCTAGTTTGCGGCATTGAGGGACCTATTATTGATTGCCCTTGATTTGAGTTGAGCATTTTGCACTGTTTGGATAATTTCTGGTTTTGACAGATATTGACTGTGCACACTTGTCTTTTACTAAACCCATTTGTTTTAAGACTGTTGCCCTTTGTTATTTTTTTTCTCCTTTGTATTTTGTCTTGTCCTTTTGTGTGTTTCCTTAAGTTTTTGTTGGAAATGTGAGTAAAAAAGAAATGCTTCTATAATTTGCCAAGTGAAAGAATTTCATAGTTTTAAATCTGTAATTAGCAATAAAGAAGGCCTAAGATAAGTATTAAGACTATCCCAAGACCAGGTGTTCCGTGCTCTCTGATGCTTTTGTAATGAATTTAGTTCTCTTTTCATTTTCCCTTCCTGGAATCCATACAATTCTAATTTCAAAATAATTCCAATTTACCATCTTTTTTACTCAAAGGCAGCATAATGAACTCAACTTTGTGGCTTAATTTTGTACAGCAGTTCCTAGGTGGTGACATGAGCTTGAGGCCAGTAGTGTCCTCTGTGGAGGGGGGAGAAAGGCACTGCAGACCTCACAGTGCGATTGGGGAGAGGGCTGTAGGCTTTAACTGTTTGAGGTTTTCACCAGCGTCTGTTTATCAGAAGGTTTTGGAACCTTCAAACCATGATATCTTAGAAGCTTGCGATTCTAGGAGAAGCAATCCTAAGTGTACTTGAATCCCATCTAATAATTTGATGTATTGAAAGTGTGACATCGTACATACCAGTATTACTCTGGTTTAAGTCTTTATTCCTGGAAGAATTCTGAGAGACCATTGGAAAAGATTTTCAAATTGTAAATTTATTGTCTTCCAATGTAGATGGGAAGCAGAGAATTGATGACATTGCTTTATGTATGCTTGGACTCACTCCTAGCTGCTCAAAAGCGCTGACTTTGGGTTTATATTTTAACCTCTGAGGTCTTAATGTCCTAGATGCTTTCTTTAATAAGCTATAAATGAAAACTTCAATTTGAAGGCAGTTTGAATCCCACAGCAGTTCTGAGAGAGAAAGGTGGGCAGTCTCCTCCCGGGTGATTCCACCCTTGGAATCACAGAGGATGGTCAGTGGTGAGTTGATTCCAGCTCAGTGGCCATGAGAGAGAGAGAGAAGGCTGGTAGATTGAAGTTGTTGCCTTCCATGATTAACGGCTTTAGTGATTGTGGCGCAGAGAAGGATGGGCTGTATCCTTTACAGCCTCTGAAAACCCACTGGAGGGGCAGCTGTGAGTCGGTTTGAGACAAATGTCAAGGTGGATTGTGCTCCTTGCATGCCACAACCTAGACTAGCCCATTCAGACCTCAGGGCACCTGGGCCACCTGCTCCTCCAGGCATTCACCCCAGTTCTTGAGCTACAGGAAACCTAGATCTTCTGGCCAAAAAGGATTCTGGAAAAAGCACTGAGACTCTTTACTCCCTAAAAGCTCCCTGAGAGGGCAGAGGCTGGGCACCTCCCTGCTGCTTTTTCCAAAGGAACCTCTGGAGATCTCCCAGGTTTCATCAAGCCACCCCTCTTCTGTGGTCCCTGGTGATCACTCTGTGAGGCTGTGGTCTGAGAATGGCCACCACAGGTTTTGATGTCTGCCTCCGCCTCACCTTCCATTTCCATTATTTCTTTTACATTTAGTATAAGAACCCTGGGTGGTGTTGTGTAGAACTTGTCAGGCTGGTAATTAAAGGTCTGCTGTTCCAGTCTCACTCTGAGGGAGAATGATGGGCAGTTGCCACCTATAAAGATTTACAGCCTCTGAACGAGGGTCATGAGGAGTCAATACTGTTTACATTGCAGTCTCCAGAGCTCCCTTGTCAGTGGGCTAGAATCCATCACTGGTCCTCAAACTGACCCAAATTTGACCATAGGAAGACTCTTGAGGGTGATCCCTGCACCCTTCCCATCAGAGCACTAGCATGCGGAGACCCTTGAGATAGTCCAGGTTAATCTTGTTTTCCATTCGTAGATTCAGCCACTTCCCAAATTCTGGTTCTTTTTGTCTAATGGAATCTAAGATCTGAGCATTAGGAGGGCTCACTGCTACTGGATTGCTAAGTTTCCAGGCTCTACACACTCTCCTACCGTTCTGCACGGCTGTATATTTTTAAAGCACAATTAAAATGCCTCCACTTCTGCTAGTTTTCAGTAACATCCTGTTGCCCTCCAGGCCTCACCCATCAATCACTTGCTGCCACCTCTGCCTCGTGCCCTCAAGTGTGTTGTGGACACTGGCTCTGTTCAGCCAGGTCCCCCTCGTCCTTGCCTCCCTAGGCTCCAAGCAGAAGTCAAGAGCATTATGGGCCTGTAAGTGACCTGTAATACCTACTCAGCTGTTAGGTTGGGCCTCACGGACAGTGCTGCAGAAAGGGGACTGTCACTTTTTGCAGAGATGTTCTGAGGATTTTCAGGTGGACAGAGATGTCTTGTGTTCTTACCCTCCACCCCTCAGGGAAGTACTGCCATCTCTCACCTTCTTGTATGTAGTTGTCCTAAGTTGGCTTTAAAGATCTGGATGCAATTAGGACCCTGATTCCAGAATGCCCCCAGCTTTTGGATACATACAGCCAGAAAACTGGAGCCAAGCCAGGTACTTCTCTCAGAGTACCTATGCAGGTCTGATTTCTACCTGTCACAGAACTATGTAAGTATGCTACAAAGTAAAAACTCAGAAGTGACTGAGGATGGCTGCACATGTACAAGGGGCTGCTGTGGCCTAGGTATTCAGTGTCCCTGAAAGAACATGTGAAGGGGAGCTGACTCAGGGTGGGTGATGTATCCCTAACTGCTCCCCTCCCGTCCAGAGTTAAATGGCCGTCTCCTTCCTTTCCTCATTCTTATTTATCCCTGCTATGCTCGGTCACCTTTCATCCCTTAACACTATAACTTCCTAAACACTTGATTAACTCTACAATTCAATCCATATGCTGGTTTTATAGTAAAACTACTTTTCTGGTCTAAACCCTCTAAATTAAAAAACAAAAAACCACAACAAATTCTCCAACCACACTGGACTGTGGTTCTTCCTGATCAATCATTCTTCCCAGGAGTGTCCCACTGCTCCCTGGTGCCAGTCCCATCATGATGGGGTTTGTGTGAACACCATTTCTCCAGCCCAGGCACGGAACACTGCTCCTTCCCCTGGGCCCCCGAGAGCCAAGCCTGCATTCGACCACTCAACAACCTTCCTCATTTCTGTAGTCACTGTTCAACATGACCAAAACACTCATTAGTAGCTGTTTATTGATCAATAGTTTGATATAAAGTTATTTCATATCTTCATATTTTTGCCCAGATGGAATCACAAGCATTACAAATTTATTTTCTTAAAAATAAAAAAAGGGGAAGTGGGGTAGGAGGGAGCAATCTAGCAGTAGTGGCATTTAAGAATAAATTAACAAAAAAAATTTAGTATTACCATTTATTGGTGACAAACACTAACTTTTACTTACATTCCATGGGGAGAAAAAAAAATTTCCAGCGTAAACAAGAAATCAAAGCGGTACTTAACTTGCAAGACTCCCGTGCGTATCTGGCCCAGATGCAGCCCTTCCTGCACATCTGTGCACAATCAAAACAGCAAAGCAACAGTTTTCTACAGAAACACAGGTCATTCTTCTCAGCCCTCCATGGAGATGTAGTTAACAGTATAAAGCACTCAAGGAAAATCAACCTGCAGTTGTCTATGGACTACATGGGAGCGTCTCCTATAGTGTAGTGAGAGCTATGGGTCCTGAAAAGCCGTGTAGATATATGCACACAATTGGTTTCATAATCTTTAAAACAAAGATCAAAGTTCACTTGTCTAAGCCATTGCATTGACCAAAATAAAAATGGACCAAATCATTATATTTAAAGTTTAAAATTCCAAAAACCTCCAATTTATACAACAGGGAGAGACATCGTATCAAGGGTTTCTGGAAAGATCAGGACTGTCAGCTGAACCAGAGGACATAACAATCTGCTCACTGCAATGGTCCTGGGTCTGTTAGTTCAATAAAATACAAACTGATACCACATACACATGGATATGATCTTTGCCGGTTAGGTTACTGATAAAATCAGTCTCAGACAAATTTCTAAACTGTGCTATGTAACTAGATACAATTGAGAAACTTTGCAATAAAAATTGTATATAGTGTCATTTTAATTGAGAGAAAAATAATGAAACTAAGAATGCGTCTCGCTGCTGGGAGAGAAAGCAGTGGTTCCGGTGGGCCCGAGGTGGGCGGTGGCCTCCGCACACTGGGAAGGGGGGACTGCGCGGGAAGCATCTGGTTTTCTCTGGTGCTTGCAGCTTTGGGTCCAGTGTTTTTCCCACAGTGTTTGAGTCGTTTAGCCAGTTGGAGAAGGGGGTGCTTTCTGTGTGGTTCCTCTTTTCATAGCCCAAAGCCATAAAAATAAAATCAAGCTCTGGGGTACACTGGGCATGGCCTCAGCCCCAGGAGGGTGGCATAGGAAGAAGGCCAGGACCCCATGCCTGGCTGCCCAGTGGGGAAAGAGCACTTCCTCTCCTCTGGCCCCATCACAACAAACCGTGTTGACCACGCTGCCTCCTGGTTCCCATCCCTCACCACTGCTGCGTCCAGTTTGTTAATCACTGTGTCTCAGCGCACTGGAGGTATCACAAATTCCAATTTTTCAAAGCAGTTTCAGTATTTTCAGTATGGATGTCAGGATTTAATATTGGTTCATGGACAGTCAAGGTTCAGCACCTCCCACACCTTTAAGGAAAGGAGGGAGGAAATACAGTTTAATTACAGAGAATTATGTACTTCTTAAAATAAGCAGTTGAATGGAAAACCAATTTTTTTGTAACTTTTCACTCTTATGATAATATGAAATTGACCAACACGGAAACCATGCAAGGCCCAGTGTAGACTGGAAGAAAGCAGCACGTTCCCAAGATCTTATGTCAAGTGGACAAGATGAGGATGACAACGTTTATATCATGTTACCTCTGGGGGAAAGAGGGGGGAAAAAGGTGGCTTGAAATTACCTTTATATTAGGACACGATTACGGAAGGCTCTCGGGGCCAGGCCTGTAGGGAGCTGTGTGCTAACCCAAAGGCCACATTTCTCCAGAGGTTTGAATCCACCAGTGTACGGACAAAGATGGACAATCTCTGCAACTGACCACCTCAGAAACCCGTGAGGGTCAGTCCATCATAGGACACAGAATGGGGCAGTGAAGATGGTTCTGAGAAGAGTCTGCTGTGTGCATCAACAATAGTTGTGGTTTCTGAACCACAAAAACACCTACTTAGAAAAAGGCACAACCTCCTGTTCAGAGTTTGGAAATCCTTCAGGGAACAGAGGACGGACAGAAGGGCTGCTAGACAGGGCCTTCAGCACTGAGTCGAGCAGCTTGACACTGAGAAGCACCGAGAAGAACGCGGGCTTTCCGGTGAACGTACTCACATGGACAGTGGCCCGTTTCCTGTCCTTGACAGCTCTGCGCTCTGCTGGTCCAGCTCCGACAGCAACTTCAGGACATTCAGTGCAGCCTAGCGGGAAGGGAGCAGTGTGAGACCAGCACTTCTCGGGACCCTGGCGACAGCTGACCTGGGCAAGAGGGCAAGCTCCTGCCTCCCACCTACCCCGAAATGACCCTTCTCTTGGATGCTGGATTTTCAAATGTGAAATGCACATCTTCAAACTATCAGTGGTTCCCCCCTGCAGCACTTTAACCTTGTGGTCAACGGGTCAGAGAGGCCCAGTGCGTGCTGTCCTTGTCCTTCCGTTCCCTTTGGAACGGATTCATTATATTCTGTCAGGTTAAAATCACAGTTTACTTTTATTTTAAGCAACTGCTTTACTCAGAATATCTTGCAGCGGCGACTTTATCAAACACCACGCAGTGGCCTCCACAGCTGCCAGTGCTGGACCGACAGCCTCGTGTGGCGGGAGGGACACGGCAGCACAGGCTGGCCGAGGGCCCGAGCCACACGGAGCCGCCAGCTCATCACCAGGCAGGGAGGGGACCTGCCGGCTGAAGCCGATGATGTACTCCCATAAACAGTCCATCCAAGAAACCAGGAAAACCCTGAGAAACAAGCCACATGGAACTGTTCAGCGGGCTATGGAAAACACCGCTGCAGTCGTCCTGAGGCCAAGTAAGGAGCTGAAGCCCGGGAAGGGCTCCAAACAACACGTGCCCATTTCCGGGCCCTGTGCCCTCCCGGCAAAGCCAGGCCCCTGTGGGGACAGGTGGACGTACCATATCATGACAGGACTCCACATCCTTTCCAATGCCGTGACTGATCAGAGGCGGCTGGGAGGAACAATTGATTAGAGATACAAACTCATTCTTGTTGTTTTTTGGGAAGTCTTTGTATTCAACCTGAGGAAGAAAAGAAAGCTGAGGACAGGCAGGGAGAGAGGCTCCAACCTGCAGGTGGGACCACTCAACTCTCTGGGGCTTCGCAATATCCACCCAGAAGATGCAGAGCTTAGGGAGGGTGCGGCTGCCGAGGGCCACTGAGGGCCACAGGTCCGTGGTGCTGGCCACTGAGGACCACGGAGCAATCTGCCAAACCTCCGACTGGGGAAACTGCCCACAATGAAGCTGTTCCCTCTGGGATTCAAACTGCAAGCACAACTCCACTTTCCCTCACCAAGTACGCTGGAAATATTCCCTCCCCCCACTAGCAAAGAACTCCAACACCCAGCCGCGCCCTCACCTGGAATCCTTGGACTCTGGAGAGATAGTCCAGCTGCTCGGAGGGCCTCGTGAGAGGACCATGGGGTGAGTGGCCTGAAGAGATGTTATTCTTTAAAATGGTCTCAGCTGTGGGCGAAGTGCCTCCATACAACAATTCCCGGGCAATCATGGCCGTGACCGTGGCCTTGGCAGGATTCAGAGCTACTCTAGAGAGATCTTTGGTGTGGTGTCCTTGGCTGACACCCACGGCCTGGGCCACCTCGGGCACCATGGGAAGAATCCCAGCAGGCAGCTGCTGGTGGCTGAGATAAGGCATCCTGAACTCGTCCTCCTTATTACCTAGCAAGGGACGCAGGGAAACATGGCTCAGAAGACAGCGTGGCCCATGGGTGCCCCGTGCCACCCCTCACAGCACACACTGCCGGCACTTAGAGCAGCCCCACTCCTCAGGAAGCAGGAGGTCCCAGACCCACCTCAGAGCAGGACAGGTGGAGGGTCACACTCACCAGCTCCATTTTCGTCCGCAGAGCCAGGCTCAAAAAAAGTCACTTTCCTTCCATCTCCCGGTTTCTTCACAGGTGTCTTAGGAGGAGGAAAGGGAAATGAGGGACATAAATTAAAAACTAAGACAGTAGCTCGTGTTATCTCAAATGACACAAACTGCAATCAGCACCAATCTCTGAATTTCTGAACTATGAAGAAAGAGGCCATGGGGAGGAAACCTTGACTGCTGGGCACTGGGCACTGGTACTGGAGGACACCCCCACCTCTGTCAACATGCACTGTGCCCACACCAACCCCATCCATGAGGACCACCACCAGAGTGCAGCAAATTCAATGCTGTCTGTTCCCTCCTCACCACTCTCAAAAGCCAGGGAAACATCAAAATGAGCCAAATAGGCCGGTCAGGCTCACCAAGTGAAGGAAAGGACAAAAGAAGCTTGACTGGTATAAAAAAAATCAAGACTATTTCCTGGATTAAAATGCAATTAAAATACAAGGTGGCATTCCCAGACATAACATGCTTTGTGGGAAAATGTCACTCTTGAAATTTTGCCAGATCCAAAGTCTCCAAGGAGGAGGGAAGCTGAGAGCCAAGCAAGCCCAGTATCGCATGCAATGATGCTCCTCAGTCCAGGACCTTGACAGCTCTGCGCTCTGCTGGTCCAGCTCCGACAGCAACTTCAGGACATTCAGTGCAGCCATATCATGACAGGACTCCACATCCTTTCCAATGCCGTGACTGATCAGAGGCGGCTGGGAGGAACAATTGATTAGAGATACAAACTCATTCTTGTT